GTTTATGACCTTCAGCCAATCAAACACATGTACTAGATTTCTCATGATGTAACATTCTTTTAAAATTCGGAATACGTACGTTTACGTATTAGTACATGTGATTTTAGCTATTATTTTGATTGGTCAGAAGGTCTCGTCACAGGTTTCATCAATCATCACGTGATTAAGCTATAGTTTCGTCAATCGTCACTATTCTCGTCACTTGTCACAGGTTTCGTCAATCGTCAGGGGTTTCGTCTGACGATTGACGTGACGAAATGTTACGTATCATGAAAATAGTTTCGTCAGGTATCATTAGACTGGTATTCTATAAACATTTCGAAAATAATTTTTCAATATTAATGGATAAAGTTGAAAGTCTGAAAATACATGTGGATGTAGATGGTAATATAATTGTGAAGTCTGTAGTCTGCAAGTCAATTTTAGACACCATTATTTTGAAGTACTGTACAGTATAAAGTTACCTAAATAAAAAATTCTACATGTAAACGTAGGACAAACACAATCATTATACATGTAAAAAGTATCGTATTTCTTTATAGACGCAAGTTATATAAGTAATGGTCTGTTTACCTATATTTGAATTATTAGATAATTTGCGTGTTTGTTTCATGTACGTATGTCTGTCATTATAAATACTTTAATCGAAAATGTTATTTTTAAAGACGTAAATTAAAAGCCTGTTAAACCGGTGCACGGTTCCAAGCATCACGTGCGCCCGAAGTTATGTGATTACGAAATCACGAGTGTTACCGGTTATTGTTATAGCTGCTTGATTAGAGAATAATGTAATTATCGTAATTGTTTACCTCCTTTTTCTTTATATGTTTTTGTCTGGTTTACATGATCAGGCTTGGTTAATCTAATCCTTTTTTCACTATCGCTATCTATTGCTATTACGTTCTCTAAACTGATGAAAATCGTAATTTTGTAAATCATGTGATCACTTTCTAAAGTGGGCATCAATGACGACCAGATAAAGCCTAGATAATTATCTTTACCCAAGATACAGTCTCCAATCACCCATATTCCCACGGAAACGGATATCAATGGATATAAATACAAACGACACTTGTTACGATTGTGATTATGATAGACATACTGTCTGTTTTTAAGACATTTACCTTACCTTATAGTGAATTTATAAATACGTATATTTACTACGGAAAAATATGGTCTCGAATAACTTACAAGGAGTTATCGTATTTAACGAAACGCAACGCGTTAACGAAAAACGGGCAAAGTTATTAATTTGGTTCATTATAGGAAGTTTAATCGTTAGCTATAGTATTTGGAATGTTTGGCGAATGATGGAAGCAATAAAGTCACCTGTCATCATCGGTTCAAGAATTGCAAACCGAGCTGAAATACCTGTAAGTTTTTATTAGTGTATATTTAAGAAAACTAAGTGTATAAGAGAAAAATGACACTTTAGTTAATGCACATAATAATAGGTACCTGGTGTCGTAATTTGCGGACCACCATTAGATAAGCCAATTGAATGCTTTGAAAGCAAAGTGAATGCAATTGAAGATAATTTTAATGAGGCAAGTCGTATTAAATTAAAAAGATCCATATTTATATATTATTCTAAATATGTTTTATTAAATTATACAGGGTAAAGTCTGTCATGACTACGTTGCAGTTGAAAACGTTACTCAATTTGTTAATATGCGTGGCTTCAATAATGTAAATGGTTACCATTGTTGTAAGTTTTCAAAATATATATAGTCATTTCTGTGAATGAGATCAAATTAAAGTTCATAATGCATACTTATTTACGCATATATTATACTAGATATCTTTGACCCTCAAAGAGAAACAAAAGATGGAAAAAAACCTCTTAAATTTAGTAATTC